GCAGGCATTTGTCCACATTTTTTTATTATTAACTAGAATAAGCAGTTTAATAACTGGGATTAAACCATCAGATCATGACAGAGTAGCATTAGCTGCGGGAACCAAGTTGGAAAGGATTCCAGATGTGATTAGATGAATACCTGCCCTTTAGGGGAAATAGTTAAGTGGGCCTCCATTTTTATTGGTAAGGTAAATGTTTCTTGGGCCATTCTAGGCAGGTATCCCGGGTTCTCATTTTCACAATGATGTTGCAAATCCCTGGTGCCAAGGAATAGATTGTCTTCTAGACCTGAGCCAAAATCATCTCCCTGATGAGAATCATTGATTTTGCCAGAACACACAAGATTCTGCTATTGCCTCAAATCATTTTCCTTTTTTGTTATAAATGCAAAGGAGCACTTAAAGCACACCAGGAGATGAATATTTCCTTTGTGGAGGGGAGAAAAAGGGAGGAGAGTAGGGGAAAAGCTGTGGTCAGAGAGCTCAGCTGCATCCCAGTTCAGGGGCGAGTTATCTTCCCACTGAAACAAATTGCAAAACTTCTACAGATTTTACCAGGATCAAAAATGATCCTAAAGTTATGCTCCCTCCTTTCAATATAAGTAAAGAGATGTTTAAGTGTGTTTTACACGATTGAGTTTGTAGCATATTGCAAACAGATACGTATTTGGTGGGATGAGAGACTGTATGAAAAATCAGAAGTATAGAAATGATTTTTGGACAAAAGTATGTTTTCTATCAGTCTCTTTAGAAACCAAAGTAATGTAATAACCTCCTTGTTTAACTGCAATACAGAAGTTCATTTTGTTAGAAGCTGGCAAATTCTGCCTTGTTCTTTTGGGATCAGTGCTGAGAATGAATATTTTTCCATTATTAACCACTTCGGGCTGTCTTTGCAGCAGTATCTAGGTGCCAAAGTAACTGTGCGAATCTGGCCCTGGAGCACTACAATCAACTCCCCCCAACTACATGGAAATACTGTTCCAGTCTGTGATGGGAGATGTATTGCACAAAAAGCCCTCACAAATCTATCTGTAAACAGCTCTACTGTCTGCCTAGCCACTATATAAGAAAAATGAAATGGGCATAGGGTACAGAGTTAATATTAGTGAAGAAATAAAATGTTAAGTTAGAGTATATAATCACCTTAAAACTTTCCTTCCTGATCAGTCTTGAGCACTCAGGCTAATAGTGCAAATGTGCTCTGCCTTACAAGGTGTTTAAGCACCAGCATAAGGCTTTGAGGGAGCAATTGAAAAGGTGACTCTTGTGTCCAGACAAGCTTATGTAAGTCTTCCAGAAACTACCAAAACTGGCAATCTGGACCTTTTACATTTCATTATTGATTTGCTCTCCTCCACTTAGAGGTTATGTTGGTGTAACTTAGTCTAGTGCACCTGGAGATTTGCACAAGGGAACACTGAGGACAGAGAATGGTGAACGCTTTGATAGCTTCAGTCTAATCGGGGAATGCTATGCTTGCTCTGCTGGCAGTTTGCTGCATAAAAGACACCAAACCTTTGCTTCTCTTCCCCTGTGGTGTGTGGTTTTTGCTCGCTGCAGAAATACTCAGTGAAACTTGGAGGCTCCGCAGCATGGTATCAAGGTGATCTTCCCTAAGAGAAGTGCACAGGTCTGGAAGAGTCAAAGGAAGAAATCCTGCTCCGTACTGAGGTTTACAAGTTTCTCTCCAACCTAAGCTAAAGTTTGTCTGCATTTATTGCAAGTTCTGCATTTATTTGTGACCTGATCCAAAGCTTACTGAAGTCAGTCTTCACGTGAACCTTGATGGGCTTTTGATGAGCACTCATAGAAAATGTGTTTTGGCTTCTGTTATGGAGAGATTTACCTGGCTGACATGAGATTAAACAAGGTCACGGAAGGCGCTTTATTTCTGTCACCTATGGGGGAAACAATGTAGAATTTGTCTTGAACTTCTCAACCCTCGTTTCTGAAATCCTTCCCTACCACACAGCAGAGTGTCTGGCTGTTTTCCCAAGCTCAGAGTAGCTCTCTGCTAATGCAAAGCACAAGATCCGCTTAGTTAAGCGGGTGGAGGAGGCGATAACAAAAGGAGGAGTGTGGGTCAGAAGGAGAGAGCTGTCTTGGCAGTCAGTAGGTATTCAGTAAAATGGAAAGGAAGCGAGGTGTAGCAATATTCAGCTTGAATGCCTTTCAAAATGTCCATGACCCTTTTGGGAGAGGGACTTTCCCTGAGAAATCCCCTCTGCAGCTCTTTCAAATTGCATTAAAAATGCACTCTTTGTGGCCACGAGTTGTCTGCGAGCGTTTGGACAACATGCAGGGTATTGCAGATATGAGCCTGGTCCAGATAAACTGAGGGCTCCCACAGGCTGCAAAAAGGTATCTTTACAGGGGGAGAGGTCGGTGACTTGGGTTTGAAAGAAGTGGCACAGCACAACAAAGTGTCCCCAGGATGGGTCTGACAGCCCTTGGCTTAGACCTTATACAGGGATTTCTGTTGCAAATCTAGGGCCGCATTTCCAAAGCTGTTAACTTGCATTTGATGTCCCAGATGTGAAATTAGTTCTGGAAGAAGTGTACAAGCTACAGATAATACATTTTTAGTTTAGTGAACAATAAGTAGATTTAAAAAAAAATAATAGACAAGTATTTCAGTCTTCTCTTGAATGCCCCTCGGCATTGCAAAAGACTAAGTGGCTCTGATAAAAAGTGAGATCATGACAGTAATGAGGTAATCCTTTTTTTTCCTGTCTTTCTCTGTATTTCTACTGCTTCCAAAACAAATATTTAAGTTAAAAAAGCAAACAAAAAAACCCCATCCGGGGCCCATAGGTGAAGTAGTCCTCTAATATTTTTATTACTGCTCTAAGTAACAGTTTTCCCCACACCTGTGGCTTTAATGAGGCTTGAAAAAAATGTAGGAAAACATCAATATGCTTCTCAGGCTGAATAAAAGCATTCTGTTTTTTTGAAATTGGTCTGCAGCCTGTTGAAGTTGCTGAGCCCTTCCAGTGGCTTTTGGAACAGACCCCAGGTTTCTTAATTTTGGGGAGGGGGTTAGGGGAGGGAGATCACAGATGCATGTGGGTGCTTCAGGGTTGAGTTTTGGAGGGGCTTTTGCAAGAGCAAGCTATAGGAGAGCCCTCGCAGAGAGGATGTACTTTTGCTCCCTGCTTACCGTAAATTTGAGGTAGGAGCAGCTGCGAAGGAAACGCAGCAGGAAAACCCAAGTGAGGGAGTGTCTTTGACCTCTTCTGCTGCTTTGTAACCCCTCAACCCACCCCCTTTGGCCCCCGGAGACACACAGGCTTCCTGAGGTGATGGATGACTGAGAGCAAGAGGGACTTGAGCGTGGCTGATGTGATACTTTTACTTGGGAAGTTGCTTGAAAGAGGAACTCAAACCAATTATTTTAAAAAAAAAATGCAGTTTTCAAGTCTGGGGATTTTTTTTTTAAATTTTTTAATTAAGTGTTGTGCTTTTTTTTCCTGACTGTACCTTACTTGGCAGAAAAAAAGGAACAACCAGCCTTTTTCTTCTTGTATATGTCCTGAATTACATTATATAAGCAGCTGCTGACAATAATTGATGGAGATAAATCAGTCAACCTGTGGTGACTTGGAAACAAAAGTAAAAAGGCATTCCTTATTTTAATGGCTTTGTCCTTAAAACCTGAGGTATGATTTTTTTTTCTACCAGCTGCAATCAATATAGATGCTTTTGTCTCAAAACAGAGATCCAAGTACCAAATTGTTGAACAGATTTCTCCTTTGAAAATGCCACTGTCACTTCAAAATGCCATGTGTACAATGCAGCTGTCTGACTTCTCAGGATTACAAAGAAGCAAGACCACGTGAAGCCTATAAACAAGCTTGTAACTCAATGTGTAAAATTTCAATGTTTATTTCGAATGTTTTGAGACTCTCCTTTGCTGTAAAGTTGTGTGTTTGCTTGCAAAAACTCCCACCCTTCAAATGATCATATTGAATTTTGTAGCTTTTGTCATCACTTCTGTTCACACGCTCTTCCACGAGTCTGAATAATGCAGTATGTTTTTAGTGTCAAATTTGTTCTTGCTTTTCAGTTTTTTCTTCTTTCCCCACCACGCAGTTGTATTTTTTCCACCTCTTCTTAGTCCCTCCTAGCAAGTCTTTTTTTTTCCTTTTTAAATTTTAAACTATCTCTTCCTCAAATGCAGGCTTCTGAGTTTCACATTCAGAGCATGCTTTTAACACATTCTTGTTATCATTTAAAACAATCTTTTCATGGCTAATTCAGTGAAGGGGAGGAAGTGACCGGCTGCTGTTGGTGTTGATGAATATGATGACTGTATCAGTTTGTCATCTGGCATTACCATTGTCCTCTTCTTCAGCTGGTGTTCATTTGAGTTTATGATCTTACAGAAGTATCAATATGTGATGCTTTTACTCAAGTTTGGCCAAAAGACATCTTTCAATAGAATAATAAATTCTCTTTGTTTCAGCTCTGTGTATATTACAACACCAGCTTGTGATATTGTGATGAAAATTCTGTAGTCCAAACAGATTTGGTTCAGATCAGTGGTTGTGTAGCAAATCTCCAAGGAATATTTATGAACAGATGACACCCTTACCAGAACCAGATCGGCACATGAGAAGGCCTTTTGCTCCTGGAGGTGCTGTTTTTATAGAGTGAGATGTAGATGTGTTTAACACTCATATCCTCTAGTCAGGAGGAGTTAGATTTTCAGAGGATCAGAGCCTTGGTCACTACATTTCCCAAAAAACATAGCAGCAGTACCTGCATCTTCTCTTTAAGCTGGAGTTGACCTTCCAGCTTTAACTGGAGTGGTTTTGAAAGGCACGAGACAGCTGCTATGTTGCAAACCAGAGCTGGCTTCAACCTCTTCAGCAGTCTTGGCAATGTAGCCCAATGCTTTCAGAGAGGGAAGTGTAAAGGATAGTCCTTAGTGTAGAACAAGAAATGATCAGCAGGAATCTTATCAATAACTGTTTGTTTTTCTTTCTCTCTCTTAGGTCTTAGATGCCCTTGCTAGAAAAAAAGAATTCTGAAAACTACCATCTCCTTTGCTTTGCTTTTTAAATTCTCCAATTGCTGCTGCTGACAAGATGGACATCTCTACTCTGACATAGCCAGTGCGAGCTCTGGAAAGGTATGTTTGCCGATTTTGTTCTGTTCAGCATATCCTTAGCCAGGCTGTGGCCCTGTGGATGAAGTAATGGATATTTTACATGCAGCTTTATGGTGTGGTTAGCTAAACCATGCCTACATTTGTAGGTTATTTCCAGAAAGACTTTTCGGTCATCAGTAAAGGTAACTGCCGCGATTGTCTGGGCCCTTCTGTTACATCTTGCAAATGAGAGAGACTTTAGAGTGACCACTGCTATTTACCTGGTGTTGGGACCCAGAAAGGGCCCTCAGAGCATGCCGCAGCTATGGATTACTTCATTTTCTTCCTGTGTGAGTTGAAAACTGGTCTTTGCTTTGGTCGGAATTCTGGGGAGGGGACAGAATAAACAATGTTGGACTTGATGGGGCTTTACTTTCTAAAGCATATGTAAGGGTAGCAAACAAATCACTCATAAAAATGTTTCACTATGGGAAACTTTTTTTTTTTTTTTTTTTTTGCAATAACTCTGGCTTCTCTGCTTTCAAATAGAGACTAAAGAAAGGGCTTGGATGAAGACAAAGGTGTGGCATTGCTGAGAGATCTGTAATTTGCAAGCAGGGTGTATGCTGGTAGCTGTTTCTTCTCACAGCTGAGAATGCTCATCTCACTGTGTGCACCAAGCAGAATGCAGTGCAGCTCCTTTCTGGGCCATGCTTTTATAGGGTGGAGGAGCAGAAAGGTTGATGGTTTGAGCATGGCCAGTGTTAGTCCAGACAGCCCCTGGAGAAGTGGCGTGAGGAGATTGAGCCTGCAAGAGGTGCTTCCTGGCTACCCTCAAAGGATCTCTGCGTGTGTCAGGGCCTGTCCAGTCTTGTGAAGGTAGGGGGAAAAAAATTCAATCACTTCATGAAGCTGAGGAAAAGCAAACTGGATTGTGCAATGTATCTAAAAAGTAGGCAAAAGTCAGCTTCTAGTACTAAAATAAAAAGCACACAGCAAAGGTGTTTTAGAAGCTACTTGGTTCCTGCTTCACTGAACGATGGTAGCTCTTTTCTGACTTTATGGACATGATTTTTGTAGGTACAGTCTTCACAGGCAAATAAAATGTGGAAGGGTGATACAAGGTTGAGAGTTTATGTGGTCAAAAGCTTGCCATGGGTTGTATAGAATGTCAATTTATTAGTATGTCGAGCGTTTTAATATGGAGCTATATAGAGTGTCTACTTTTGTTTACTGCCAAATGTCGTTTGTTTTATAAATCTGAGGAAAGCTCTTACAAATATCTATGAGGTCAGAGCATTTACATAGGCAGGTCTGCAGCTTACCTCATGTAGTAACTCTTACATTTTATACTGAAATATAAAATAGATTCTTTCCAGCTAGAAGGAGCAGATAAAAATGAAAAACTTCTAGTTCATTAGTTTTCAGCCAAGTTGAGTAATTACAGTGTAAACAGGTGAAATACCATATGTGACTTCACTTTTTGTTTATAATTCTAAAGAGTTTACACACTTCCAAGAAAGATTTACATGAAGAACACAGATAAGTAAATAAATGGAGTGAGTATATGATTAATGATTTTAAAATAATAAATGCTTCCAATTTGTAACATTCTTGAAATAGGTTGGCCATGCAGGCCATGTTTTTCTTCCTGCTTTACAAGGCTGTCTGTGTTTTGTTTATTTACAGTACAAATCTTACGTTCAATGCCTCCTTTTCTGTTTAATCCACAGGAGAATGTTGGTCACTGGCAAGATCATTAAATTGTATTAATATATGTTTAATTAAATCCTTATAACAAAATATATATGATAAATTGCTCTATGTCTAATTAAAAGGAATGAACAAGTTGAATAATGACAAAACAGGAGAATGAAATTACATTTGTGAGATCAAACATAATGCTAGGAAAAGGACCTAACATGGGCATACAACTTCAGTTTTTTGAGCTACTGCAGGCCACAATTAACAATGCAACAGATTCATCCTGTGATCAGGAGTGTGTTTATTAGTGCTTTATATTGCCAGCTTGCTGCTGTCTTCATGTGTTGCTGCTCGTCTTGTACTATGTCCGGAGCAGTGGAAAAAGTATTGTATCTACCTGTTGTTGCTTCTGTAGGTTATAACCCTGACAGCTATGCAGTGGCTGTAAGGAGATGGTAGTGGGACAGTTCCTGTGGTACGGAGTAAGAGAAGTTGCTTGCTGGGGAATAAGGAGAATAAGGAGTCCATAGAAGAGTACTTGCTGTTATTATTTCTGTTGTCAGTGACCACACCAGGAAAGTCTTCATACTTTGCCCAAAGTGGTGTTTTTGGCTGTGTAATGAAATCCTGGTTCTGCAGGGGACAAAAGCCCCATGTGCATATTCAACAAAGGTGTTCCAGTGCTCCCCTGAGCATTGGTCCACAACCAGGAATGTAGAATTACCTCTTTGGTTTAGATGAACTGCAGGAGCTCATCTCCTGGCTGTTTCAAGCAAGGCAGGGGGAACTTTGACTAAACTGGAACCGGTTGAATGCAGGTAAATGGCTAAAGAGAGTGGCTAAAGAATACTTTAGATACAGAGGGAATGAGTAGATCAAGACTGAAGGGAAAGGTCCTTTCTAACAATGTTTAGTATCAGCAGCACAGTGGTCATTGTTTCAAGTTGAATGGGGCATGTTCAGAACTGCAGCTGGGTAGAACGTCTACCAGAAAACTGTTGGGGCTTCTCAAATGTACCAGTGCGAGCTTGGTTACAGGCTGGCTTACAAACAGATCAATATTCCCATGTTCTCACTGAAATTTGAGAAGTCCCAAGATTTTTAGCGCCGGTGTGATGTCCCTAGTGAAGTGCTCCCAACTGTGTGAAATAATATTTTGTTCCAAAATGTTCAATTAGAAAGAGTAGCTCAGGAAGAAGCAGTTTTGTCGGAGTCTTATTTTAATAAACCCAGAACAATGTCAGAGGTTTTGATTCATTCAGACAAACAAGAACAGGATTTTCTTTGAACAGAAACTGAGTGTGTGTTTTAAATGTGTGTTTACTGTGTATAAATCTCTAATTAGAAAAGTCCTGCACTGTGCGTGGATCAAAGCAGGCTTTTAGTCACTTAGTTCCACTGTACCTTTTTGTCTTTCAGTTTTAAAAAGCAAATGAACAAAAATCCATGGGTCTTAACCACTGCTGGCACTGCACTGGGACCTCTGTCCTGTCCCTGCCAAGAGGGAAGCTCATGTCTGAGAAATCCATGTTCTTACTCTGTGCCTTAGTTTTCTTCACCTTATAAAGGAAGTGATGGTATTGAGGTGTTTTGATAGCTAGGGAGAAGAATGCTTAGTGTATAAACTGTTTTTTATAATTATAGAATAGTCTGCCTTAATACCAGCTCAAATGCTGCATCTGAATGACTCAACCTCTAACGTAACAACCTGCATAATATTACTTATATGGTGAAATTAAGTGGTTTTGATTCTATGACTCAGTTGCAGTAAGTCTATATGGGGGGAAAAAGAGTCTTAAGATAGTGAAGGGCATGATTCAGAACTCTGAATCGCTGTTTAGGAAGAATGCCTTTCGTTTGGTTAAGCTGGCACAAAAAGAGGATTCTCCTTGAGTATTGCTGTGACCTCTTCTACCCAAGTCTTTCAGCATTTAGACACAATCTTCAAACTTAACTAAACCCTCTCAGATGCGGGTGGGGTTATTTTGATGTCCAATATAAGCCACCCCCCCTTGAAAAAAAACAAACCTACAACAATAACAACAACAACAAAACCCACTCCAATCTGAACACTGAGTCATTTTGAGTCTTGGATTCATCCCTCCATAGAAAGGTGCGAGCCATAAAGCCCAGATTAAGGGGCTTGAAATGTCTTTTAGAGCTGTGCTGTATTTGGCAATTTGTGTTCCTTTGGGGTTGACAGAATTTCTTTGGCAGTTAAGTTTTTACTCCCTGAGTTTTGCTCTGAGAGTCAGGTTCAAATAAATCTGAAATGTGGAACAGAATTCAGTCCAAGAGAGCGAGTTTCCCAGGGTTTCTGTCTGAAACAATAAATCCTTCCTTGGAGAAAGAAGGGCAAACCTCCACCTTGGTTCATCCAGAAGAATTGCAGATGCTTTTATGAGCCTGGGTTTAATTTGGGGTTAGTAAGAAAGCCCTTTCCCATTTCTCCAACTCCAGGGTATAACCCTGAGTTAAATTTTTTTTATTTTTACTCCCATTTGCAGCATAGGCAGCATTTCCCACCCTGAAGTTCTGCCTGTTTCTGCATATTTTCCTTGTTGGCCAAAGCTAGTAGGTATTTTTAGTGAACCACATTGATTTCAAAACCTCAGGTTTTTATGCTATTCCTCTTGACTCTATTACAACTGGAAGCCTATTAGCTATCCAATGTACTAATGACCTGGTAGATGACAAAATTAAATTGAGGGCATATAATTTCCAGGATCTTATTTCTGCTTTTTTTTTTTTTTTAAACAAAGACTTTTGACTGCCTTGCAAAATTCACATGCCCGCTTCCCCAGCACTCCTCGTACCATCTGTATGCACAGCACACAGCGTACCTTTGGATTTTTTTTTTAAATAAAAAAAAAAAAGATTGTTCTGCTCTCTAACCTGCAGCCTGCTGTACCACGTAAACTGGAGAAAAACGTCTGTCTAATCGATCCTTATTTAATAAACAGTGCTATCAATGCCTTCGAGACAGCTGTACAGTGTGTGACGCGGGGACATCAGGACACTTGCTGGCTTGCGTTAATTGGCATGGCAACGTTGTTTTTTGGCCTGGCACGCCAGATCGAAAATTGAATTTACAAAATCAAACTGTAGTTATCTGCATTCCTTGATGTCCTCCCAGGTGAGCTACTGGGCTTCATGCTAATAACTTCTAAAGCAAGCAAACTTTAGCTAATTATGTGCTAGTTTATTCTCCCTTGCTAAATTTTGGCAGGTTGCTTCTGTAAATTATGAAAAATAAATGTGAAATATGCAGATGTCTTTTGTTTGAAGCAGATGTTTGGTCCGCCTTGCCAGAATCTAATCAGCTGTTTCCCCTGAGT